AAATATAAGAAAAATCTTTATCAAGGAAATAGGATAAGGGCATATATATATATATATATATATATGGAAACTAAAGTTGGGAAGCCACTTAAGAACCGTTGAAGTGGGATACTAATAAGACTGAGAAAAGTCCCACTTTAAAGCAAGTACAATTATCTTTTGATCAAAAATGGAGTACAATTATTGTTTGCACAACAAGGAGTATTCAAATAATTTATGGTCGTTGTAAGTGGACACTTCAATTCCAGGAGAGCAGGTTGGGTTTGGATGTGGTTGGCTTGTGATGAAGAGCCACAGATAATTAAAACGGAAAACGAAAATGCCCACTCTAAATAAAGGAGAGAAATTGAGAGTACCTAATAAGCGGAGACCTCTTTAAAGCTGTTAAGTGGCTGATGGAGCCATGACCAATGCGCTATCTCTCTATCTCTTTCTTAATGATACGTGCACAATTAATTGACAAATTTTAACCATTCCCGATGGACACTTTGTAACATGATGATATCTATTAGAAAGAAATTAATTATTAATATACACTATTTTCATCGAATTCAAACAGGGAGAGTACATTATATACAAAAATATATATATATTTCTAAAATAGAACCTTAACTAACTCAAATCAATGCCTATAGGTATTAATTAGGCACCAGCTAATAACCAGTATCTAATTAATTTATATATATTGCCGGTTTATTTGGTGTTAATGCACAGTATGATTAGTAGTATATATGTCCCATGGCACTATCATTTTCACTGTGCACAATAGACAGAGAGACTAGGACACCAGAGCGAAAAGCTAGCCGAGACTGACGAAGGAAATTTTGCAGACCTATATAAAAAGGGTCGACGAATTTAGCTTTTTTGAACCTTTGACTCATCTCAATCGCTTCATAAAGCAAAACAATAATTGAACTAGTTATTTGCCGTGAAGGAAGTGAAAACATTTATAGCAGCAAATTTCAACGGAAAATTGTTATCTAAATAGCTCATCATCGCTGGAATACTGAAAAGGGGAAAAGGTTTTGATGTGTTTCTTTCTTCTTTAGAAATAGTCCTCGACAACCTTAGTCACTATATGATTTTTAGACAAAGCAAAAAAACAGGAAAAATTAAAGAAGCAGAAGAAAACTAAACAACGATAACAGAATTACATCAGATTTAAACAAATCAAGTCTGGGAATTTGAAGGGAAAGAAACATATGATGAGATTAAAAAGAGAAATGGTGGCAATACTCTTGAGAAATACTTGGTTTTCATGCTCAGTTGTACAGTGGTGAAGCTGTTGCTCAAAGCAAAGCCACAGTAATTACCAACTGTTCAACCACTACTTGTTTGGTAAAGAAAACTTAATTGTCAAAGGAGTAAACAAATGGATAGATATATGGATGATACCGCAGAAACGCACTTGTTTCCAAAGAAGACGAAGGTTCGAATTATTTAAACAAAGATAGTAAAGAAAACACTAAAAAGATGATAATGACGGCAATGATTGTAGAATTTTGTAAGACCCCGTGAATATTTTGCAATCCTATCGCGTATTTCCAAACGTCATTCACTATTTCAATCATAGAATTATAGAAAATTAACCATTCGCATTAGGAAAATGCACATTCTATTTTTACTACCTGATATCGTGCTATAAACTGACTTGATCTATGGATTCAAACAATGAACTCTTACATATCTTTCCTTTAAATTTAGGAGCATGTGCCAGCCATACACTTCTGAGTAGTACCTATGATGAACAGTGTTTTCAATAATAAGTACGGAGTATATGAATGGACCTGTCCCCTGAATCGATTTCTGGTCAAAAAGCTTCCTAATCCCACTTTGTTTAATTTTACAAGCAAGTAATGTAACATCACCAAGTCTTTTCAGCAAATACTCCAAATTTTATAGAATTTTAGTGGTTTTTTTGTCTGCGAAACTTTCATCAAACATTCCTGACCTGACCCGACTCCATATTTTCATGAAAAAATATACTGTGATGTGATACTCATAAGCGTCTCCATGTGCTTTGCCCCTGAAAAGCAAACTTACAGCAGCATTTTGGCCCAGCCTTTCCCAATTAAGACCCAACCTAAGGACACTACCCAACAAGGAAGGGGCCCTGCATCCACCAAGGTACAAACGAAAGAAGATTTTCCATGGTGTATCTCTTGTTTGCTACCAAGAAAATCCAGCACCATTACAATATTTTCTCCACAAAATAACTCAGATCATTTTAGTTGTGGCTTGCTTATACTTTCACCACCAACTTTAGCTGTCAATTTCCGAGGAATCAAGGAATGTTTAGTGGTAAGAACGTTGTCCAATCAGAATAGTCATGGAAATGAAAATGAAAAAAATATCCAGCAAGAGCACTTAAATTATTGGTGGCACCCCACTCTCTGGCAAAAATTCGTCGCTGAGAATCATTATGAGCATGCTTTTTGTCTAGTTAATGGCATGTGGAGCTAAAGCTGAAAGACTCTTGTTGTTTCACATAGCAATGGCAAACCTATCTTCTTTGCTAAGATATGGAGGTTCCGCTTCCACATCCCCTCCCCTTTTTCTCCTTTTGACTCTCCTGGGTTTTGAGTATGTTTGAATACTGGAAATGTGTCTATGATTACAGATCCGGTAGGGATTTTCGGATTTTCTCCTATCAAATTTTGTGAACTAGAAAACATCTAAAGAATTTTAAATTAGATGGTAATTAAGCGGATCAGATCAGAGTAGTCTTAGCACTTGGGTTTTTCTTTTTTTTAAGAAAGAGATTATGTAGTAATTAATGAACTAAATGTTCGAATGGAAAGAAATATTTTTTTATTCCGATCATCTCGAGTTAATGATATTTGAGTTTATAAACATTAATTTTAATAAAATAATAATAAATCATTTAGATTTCAAATTAAACTAAAATAATTAATTATCTTTTGAACTCTTCTTTTTATCTTTTTTTTCCTCTATAAAAATCGAAGTTTAAAAATTGAGAAAGAAAAAATACAAAATAACAAAATCAAAATGACGGAAAATGAAAAAAACAAATCCCTTCTGAATTTCCATTTCCCACCAATCCATTCCCCCTCCCTCATTTTAGATTTTCAATTTCCTACCAACTCGAGCTCCTTTCCAAATTTCCCATTTCCAGCCAACTAATGCCTTAAAATGTAGACCTAGTATTTGTGTAAGAAAACGATAAAACCATACAAGAATGACACAAGTCTAAGCAAGTTTAAGTTTAGTGTAATCGTGCCGATATGGTTAAAATATGAATAAATTATTTGTTAATCATGTCAAATCCATTTACCTCGTATAAAAATCATCTAAGACACGAATTATCGTATTATCATGTACCCATATAAATTATGGATCATTTATTTAAATGTGTACACATGTCGTGTAAGCACATTTAGTACATGATTAAGACTCGTTTTATAGTTGATGATGTAATATGGTAATGTATTTAATTATGGTTGATATTGGATAATTATGATTTTTTTTTTAATTGAGGGAGGAGGGATTTGAGCCATGCTCTTTAAGCAGAGGGATAATATACCAACTAATTAGCCAAATGTTCGAGTGCATATTGGATATTTGATAAGTTTTGGATAATTAGATAATTATGGTTTAATTTATTATGATTTATAATTTTGGATAATGATTATCAATTCAGTGATGTTGAATTTTATTATATTTTATAATTTTTGTGGTACTTTTAAATAATAAAATTATATTTTGATTACATTTTTTTAATCATATTTTAACCATGTTTATGGCATCAATCGTCTTAATCATGTAAGCATATTATAAAACATATAAATTTTAATCAAGTTAATTGTGTCGAGCCGCATAAAATTTAACTCAGCACATTTAATTAATATATTAATCGTGTCATGTTCTGTTACATAAGTATTAAACGTATGTGTGTACTTGTCTTGACACGATTAATTAACTGTGTTGTTTTCGTGTTTATCAAAATAACTGTTAATACCTTATGTTTACATGACACAATTAAAACACAAATACACAAATTGTAAATTCTACTTGTTTGGATTATTGCATCCCAAGTAAACTTCATTCTGATTTAGAATCACCAAATATGTATGAAATAGAATATGCCCAAATCATTATATAGTTTTTTAATATTTGAGTTAGCATTACCCTAAATTTACAATTTAAATGTGAATAGTTATAGTAATATATTTGTACATGATTGTTTCTAGAATAAAATCAAATGTCAAATTAACAATATCATTTTCTATAGTTAATTATTTTAAATATTAAGATTGACACCAAAAATAATTAGATATTTATTTTTTATTAAAGTATATTTGATATTCATATTTAATATGTCCTAAAAATTATAAATTTAGATTTTTACAGATTTTGGATAAAATAGATTTCAAATTCTTATCATTATGAGCTAAAGTCACTCCAAATTCAAATCATTTCAAGTTTGAATTATTTCAAATTTGATTTGTTTCAAGTTCAAATCACCTCAAGTTCGAATTGTCTCGTGTTTGGATTTATTCAAATTCATGTTATTCTCTTCGTTTAGTCAATTCCAATTGAATCAAATTTGATTTGGTACTAATTTGGATGAATTTTCAAATTCGGTCAAATTTTGCCACCTTGAACCTTGTACCTAGGAATAAAAAAGCATCATAACCTATATTTCCTCGGTTACTGCAAATATGTGGATCTGTTTTTAAGGAAATGCTTCTTAGCCCTAGACCTTTGTCCCACTCAGGTACTAAAATTTCGTTGATTCAACTTTATATAAGTTGATTAACCATAAATTGATAGGTTTCAATCCAATTAAATTTGTTACTCAATTCTACACTGAAATAAACATCTGTTACTTGCATTCTGATGAGGTTAATGTTTTCCCCAAACATGAAAACAACATCAGGAACCCACTACCTCCAATTTGTAGCTGAAAATTCATTCATCATTAGGCTATTTGGTCACTAACCATCAAGCAGATAGTCAACTGTGATTTATTCTGTTCATAGAAAAACCAGAATTTGACTCAAATATCAACTTTTCCTCCGACTGTAAACATCATGACTCATAATCCTTCCAACGACTATGCATCAATCTAACCTGGGATTGGCCAGATTCATACTGCTCTAATTTTCTAGGAATTGACTTTATTACTCCATAATTCTCGCCCAACCAACCACTTCATTGCACCGGTCATCTAAATCCTTAACTTCAAGGCTCTCCCACTTATAATGTTGATGTCAGGGCAATTATTTGCAACAGGAAACATGCTGAAAAGGACAGGGAATAAATCAGTCCGTCAGCACCAAACAAGAGAAAGAAAAGAATACCACACTGTAGAGATAGAGAGAGATACCGGTTGTGAGCTAAGATATGAAATCTGTGGAGGCTGAGTCAGTAATCAGTGAAGGGTAGTGACCAAAAGAACCAGATGGTTCAAAGCACTTGCTTCCTAATGCATAGACAGAGTTCACAAATTGATTCCCTGGAGACACGGGTGCACAACAAACAGAGCCATTGGCCCCCACCACCCACAATCCCACTAGCGTTCCTTCCCTTGTCACTTCCTTCCTACACCCTGGCCTTGCTAACCAGCAGCGGTCACAAAGGAAGCTCACCCACTCACCTTCGCCCACTGGATGACCGTCCCTTTCAACCTTTTCCATTTTTATTCCTTCTTTACATAACCCGTTAAAAGTGACGCACATCTACGCAGCTGGTAAAACCTTGCTTATAATTTTTTATTAACTTACATAAGCTAAAGAACACTGATGATAAATTCAGAGCTCAATTCCCAGACTGTTTCCCAAAAAATGCAGTAACGAACTCCACTACCGTCTAATCCCATGAAATCTGAACATCACCACCTATGCTTGGAGGTGATTACATAAAATTAACCTAACGTATCTCCTTTTTTTTATTTTTCCTTTTCCCCTTCTTCATTTTTTATGTTTCCCACCTTTTTTGCCCCTCAGTTGACCACAAAAGTAAAACTACTGCCTCTAGTAGCAAATGCTTAGCAATCTAACTCCTTAAAACGTATATAGGAAGTTGTCACCTACACCAATGAATTGGACATTAAAGGGGGGGACAAGGGGGGTGTCCTACCCCTTGGGCATTGTGAGAGAGTCCAGACTGGAGCAACAAAAGAAAGGGGATATCTTAGATTCTTAGCAATGACTTTGTTGATGCAGTCCCACTGAGAATAAAGCAATGATTATTTGAACATGATAATTTGACTGATCATATCTTTCGATTAGCAAGAATTGGTTTATTGCTCCCCACACATTTACATTCGAAGAGCTTCTGTGCCTGGCAAGATTAGAGACACTAGATGTCGGCACCCCTATCCTACCTATGCTCACAACAAGCAGAGCATCAGCTTCTTGGTCAAGAAATCAATTGACCAGAATAAAGGACACTGAACTATCTATGAACAACTACTATAATCCTATTGGCAATGTCAACAAAGTTCACTTGAACCATATGTTCTACCAACTGAATCAAACTTGCTACTAAGCAAACCAAACCACAGAAACAGCACAATCTGCTATCATAGGCAACACTTGGATCATAACTAAAGCCAAATTCATACAGAACAAATCACCAATGATAAGCTTGTGAAAACTCAGGCAGATTACTGGTAGTAGTAGTTGGCTAGATCCTATCAATCCTCATATTCATGGTACCATGCACATCGAATTTGAGAAAAAAAAAAGTTAAAATACGAAAAGGAAGAAAAATAATAAGCAGTGGCCATGGATGCTAGTAAAATGTGGAAATACACCCACATCTTATTGACACAACAGTTTGACTGCCCTGAACTCCTTCATACATCCTCCCATACCAACTTTTGTTGCCAGAAATTCCTCCAAATGGATGCACCACATTGCACAGTAATGCATATCAAGGAAAATTGAAGAATGCTCACCAATTTGAGATTATGAAAAACTGACTGAAACACAAATCAAAGAACTCCAGCAAAAATCTTTTGATCCAAGATACGAACAGGCCAATAATTTCCCAAAAGACCAACTGATAAAGCAGGACAAAACTAGATAAAAAGTGGATCAAAATAACATAAAAAATGCAGACCACAGATGCTCAAGGAAGATTTTCTGAAGCTGACTTAATCAGAAATCTAAACAATACAGATCAAAGGGCAGAATCATACATGTCAATCACTGGATAAACAAAGCAAGCCCAGTAACTGTTTGAAAAACAAAAATAAGCTTCTGTGAGGTGGCTTATAATATATGAAAGGTTAAGGTATGTTTTAAAGATAGCACAGTAGAGTCGAGTGGCTTGGCCTACGTGAATTTCAGAAAATTTGTAATGCTAGTTCACGTAACTACTGAGATGGTCATCACTTTCCACTGTAGAATTAAAAAAAATAAAATAAAATGAGAAAGAGAGAGTTACCACCCCGTGTGTGCGTGCGCACATGTGTGTGTGTGTGTGAAAAGAGTATTTCAGATTCATTACCTATTCATCATAAGAGTTATATTGTCTCCTTTAAGAAGTATCCTTCCTGAAAAAAACAAACAAATAAATAATTAAGATGACATGCAAAAAACAAGGTAGAAGAATATAAGAGTAAGAGAATTCACCTAATGACTTTCTGCTCTTTTTCTTGATGTTGACTTCTTCAGCATCATCGAGAACCAAATTCATGTACTCATCAAAGCCCTGGAAAATGCCAAAAAGCCAATTAAGAATCAGATTATTAGATTATCAATGAGATTATATCTCAAAGCACATAAAAGACGTTCAGTTATTTTGTCTGTCAATTAAATTTTCCAAATTTGAGACAGTCATCTCATAATTAAACATTATATATGTATACTTGAAATTTAAGACCTGTTATTTCTGCTGTGCATTCTCACATTCCATTGCACTGCACAAACAGATCCACTGTTGATTCATTTTACCCAAAGTTACAGATGTAATGACATCTGCAGGGATATGAAATTTATTTTTAAGGCTCTCATAACCTCATCCAGCATGATCACCTTACGTGAGTCAAACAATCAATCTATCAAAATGCTGTCACAAGAATTGAAGAACGGTCATCCACAGGATTCATTATCAGATCTGTAGCATCATCCTTATTTAACTTATATATGTGGGACATTTCAGAAACACTGGGCTTGATGGACTCAGATCAAGAATATTAAGGAGATTCCATGTCAAAACTTTTTTTACCAAGCACACATACCATATACCAATTATGATACATGGGGCTCTATTTTTCACTTAAATTAGCCAAATGGCCATTTGTCACCACATCAACTTCAACAGTCTGTCTTGTTCTGATTATCTACAACACACAATAACATCTCATCCCTCTAATATCACCCACTTGTTTATTCTCCCACAAACATTCATCCATCATACTTACTCGAGCATTATATACCGTCCTAAATCTCATTTGTCATGCTATACTTGAGCTTTCTAAAGAGTATCTGGCTTTTCCTTTCTTGATCAGGTCTTCCTCCTATAACATGTACGCAACATTACACCCCTTGATGTAAGGACACCCTACTATATTTTGGCAACTCTACTGCTTTTACATGGTCCTAGATCTCTCACTATCACATCACAGTTGGGATTTCTAAAGTGTGTTTGTTCTTCCTTTCTTGATCATCTCTTCTTCCCGTAAAATATGCGACATTACATCCCTTGACACTAAGAACCCCCTACTATAGTTTGGCCACTCTACCTGAGATCAAACCTAGAATGTTGGATAAAGGAGGCAAAAAAAAAAAAGAGGGCCAAGAAAGGAGGAACATGCAACATTTAAGGTATTTAGCTATCAGATGTGAAGGAATTAGGGTCAAAGCAAGAATGCAGGTATATTGCTTAAGGAATAGGTAGAAGAATATTTTAGAACAAAACAGAAGTGGTTTATTTCCAAGGAATGATCTTTAAAAAGGATTAGGACATCCAAGCAAGGGCAATACTCATGACTTTGGAGAGAAAGACCAAACGTGATGCTAAAAATAAACTCGGAGGGCCCTAAATTAAGGGTTTTCAAGGGTCACTACATGAAAGGACATCAATCTAAAATAATATTGATGAATATATGAAATGATGATAAGGGATAAAATAATGGAGAAAATCTAATTCATTAACAGTAACAAGGTTATCTTCTTATTTGAAGGTCTAGGTTTGTAATGAGTTTGCTTTTGGGGAGTTGAGGAAATATCCAGATTGTTGGCAACTCTAGTAACGCTAATAAAATCAAAAATAAATAATTTTAATAAAAAGAACTTGACATAATCACTAGAGTCCCACTGGGATAAGGTCAAAAGCTTCACACACAGGTTGACTTTGCTTTTAACCAATGATAAAAGGAAGTCTAATAGCTGTTGGAATTCTCTTAACTTGACCCCTATTCAACAAAAGAAACTACTTACATGTACTAAGCTTCCACTAATGTTCCTAAAGGACTTGAGGTCCAAGATGTAAAACTAAAGATTTTTGGAGATTATGATTTTATTTCACGTGAAGTCTTCCATAAACAGAAGTAAGCACAAAGAGCACAGCAGCCAATGTCATTGTTTGTAATGTCCTTGTTATGTTAATATGGGCTCAAAAGAAAATCCAATTAGCTTGAGGCTTTGGAAGTTGCGTACATATACATGGAAAAGATGTGACCAACTATCTCATGGCGGAACAAGGAAAGGAGCCAATAAAGATATGTATTGAGAACGTTGGGACAATCCCTGTTTAAAGATGCAACCGCAGAGGGAAAGATAAGCAGCTCAAAAATAGTGTATGGTAATCAAGAACAATCCATGTTTAATGATGCAACCATGGAGGAGACAGCAAGCAGCTTGAGAATAGCTTATGGTAATCATGTATAAAAAGCCAAAAAGGAGGGAAAACCTTTTTCAAACAAAATGTAATCAAGTACAAGCAATGATGGTATAACATACTTGTGGCAAATAGAAAGCTTCTCCTAATGACTGGCAGTGGCTAGTTTTCAAACCAATCTATTAAAGGAAGCATTAACCATACCAAATGGATTGAAGATTGAAGGAAGAATTACCCATGCCAAAGCATTATCCATTTATCGAGGAAGCAATACATACGAAATGGATTAAAATGAAAATTAAATGAAGTGCAATCAAAGAAAAAGCCACCTTCAACCATTTACCATGCAAATGCCTATATTTTTATACTCAAAACCATGCTATACTTGTATATCCCACCTTCTGGGTGAATTTCATCTTAGGCCACCAGACGTATCCCCTTTTTCCACTTTAGTCACCTCTTTCAATTCATCTTGATTGAGTGAGCAAACTATGTTAATGGTACCAACATTGGTCACCATGAAATAATCAATCCAAATTGACTAACAGAATGGTGACTATTACGGAAGTCCCCTGACTTGTGTCTTAGTGAGAGTAAGGAAATCCTTGCATTGGGTTGAAAATTGCGCGAGTAAACACTTCTAAAAGGTTCAATAGTTTCTAAGAAATCTAATAGTTGTTGTACTTGGTGCATTGTATACTAAAGAGTAGGCTAGGCCAAACCTCTATAGATCGCTAAGCACTATCTACGACTCTACCTTCTCTATGTTATAGTATTTTGAGCTTAAATTCTGATTAATTGATTATAGCCAAATTCACCACCCTCTTGGATTAATTTACTTTCGGCCTAAGGAAATCGGGAAACAAAGAAGAGTAAAGAGAGAATGGAAGAATGGGAGAGATGGAGGATTACTCTTTTCTCCACTTCATTTTAATTGCTCTGTGTCCAAGAAATAAGGATAGAATGCAAACTTCCCATGAAGGCAAGATAAGGTCACAAGCAAAATAAAATTATAAAGCAAGGTTGTTTCTCAAATTTCAAGCTTCCTCAATAATCTTAAGATCTCCATTTATAAATTCACAATCACTCAAAAGGTCAAAGTGCCCTTACCGTTAGCTTCACGACTTGAAGACAAATTTTTGTGAAATTTTGGAGAAAATCATGTGAGGTTAGCAACACAACAGTTTATAACTAGAAACAAGTTATGACCTTTACACATAAAAGAAGATTAACAAGGAGTAAACCTAGTCATTTTGGACACGACATGAGAATGAAATAAGCTAAGCGGATTTAGGTTTGGGGTTATTGTAAACACACCTAACCCATATGACACGTCTAACTCATTTAATTAATTTTGTTATTGTATCAATTATAATATGACCTGTTTAACTCGTTTATGATAACTATTAAAATAAGTTAATCGTGTTTAAATAAGTTTGTCATGTCATAATCATCACGTGTCATATAAAATTTAACTTGTTTAATAATGTGTTAATTGCGTCATGACATTTGACACATGTAATAAATGTATCAATGTATGTGCATAGAATCTTAACCTCTTTAATTAATCATGTTATGTTTATGTTTGCCCAGATGATTGTTAATACCTAAACTAAGCACAACATACACGGTAACATGAGTTAACAAATTCAATTACGTGATTGGGAAAGCATTATGTCAAAAACAACAGCCAATGTAAAATCAGGGCATTTTAAGACTTGATCGAGACAAGAAGGTAAAAGTGAATACATTCCAAGTACACCCTTCAGTACATTCAAAGACTGTTCAATGTTTTGTAAAAGGAAACTAGTGCACTTAGGATTTTAATCAAACATGATTGTCATTTTTGAGTGGTCATAGTACTCAAAATGTGAAATTACCATGGGCATCACATTAAACTTGATGGTCAAACGGGGCAGTTAGTTGGTCAAGTGAATTTCCAAACTTCGAAAAAGTAAATAAGATTTTTTTTGAATGATTTTTCCCCTTACATCAAACAAATAAATAAGAGCAAAACATCCACCTTCGCAATTTCAAAACCTCCACATCTCCTCTCTTGTTGCCATCATTTTCCCTATGCTCTCTTTAAGCAACCAATCCTTCCACCAATTAATCATGTTGGAATCAACTCTTCAATTCTGACCGTAGCTTCCTACATCCATTTGTTTTCTCAAAATTCCAATATATCTCTATCCATCTCTCAATTTCTTTACTTCAACCATGCCAATTATATACTTTTTTTTTATGAAATGCTCAATTTGGGACCAAAACCATTATGTTTTTTTCAATTTAAGACCAAACGTTTCAAATGCAACAACCATGAGCCAAAAGTTTGTTTTAAGTTTTTCTCATGGTTCCATTGATAAATTTGCTATGAAATTTGCATTATTTTTCAATTATTCATTTCCCTGATTGGTTATAAAGTACAAGCTTGATGTGTCATATTTCCTTCCTCATTGGTCTAAGTATTTGTCCCTTTGACTAAATTCACAATGTTAATCCCTAAATTACAAGTGTCTATGTGGTGTTGGTGGTGGTGTCTCATAATTAGATAACGATTTATTTAATTCCATAGTGTTTTAACATCATCATCTACAAAAATTTAACCATGAATTTTTTAAACATGAGATTGTGAAGGCAAATTCCTCCAGTTGTTGAATGAGATACTAAACAAACCTTCCTTTGCTATCAACCTTAGAGTATCGTACTCGGCCAATAAAAAGATAGATAGTCCTCTATTATAAGATTGTTAGGCCTTTAAAATTTTCCCAATAAATTTTGTTATTTTTTGTATCTTTTTTGAGCAATCATGGAAATTTTTAGCTAGAATTTATAAGCTTTGTCTACGGGGTTTAGCATATAGGGGGTTTCATATTTTCTCTTCATAAGCAAAAGGTTTCTTAGTTCCAATTGAGTTCATTTGCTTGAATGGAAAAACGAAAGTGCAGTTCTGGCCTTGCTTTGTTTATTTAACCCCTTTATTTTAGCTATGGTCTGGATAAATACTAGAGATATTCTACTTATTACAATTGTTCAGGTTGGTTGCCAAAGAAATGTTTGAAGGAAGCTTTTTACTAAGTTTGTAGACTGATGCACCTAGAAATAGGAACCACTGTTCCTGATTAATACATAAAGCAAAGAACACCAATTGCTCATCAAGCAGTAATACACGACTTAGCACAAGATAATGATAATACTCAACACAAGCAATTCAAAACAGCAGTCAGAATCATGCAAAACCTAAACTTATATGAAAAGAGAATTCATAAAAATGTTCTTAGCATTTATTAGCCAATCGTATATCCTAAACTAAATTATAATTGCCTAAGCAACAACTTCGGCCGCAATTAAAATTCCCAACAGAATTGAATTAAATTCTTTACCACTATAAGTAGCTTTCAAATTGCTAATTTAATGAAAATTATACACAACTTACAATGATTCGGCCTTCAATCCTCAAATCTTTCTGCTCAAAAAGCCAAATCTGAATGCGAGCTTTCTGGGCAAATTCAATGGAAAAATAAAAAGAACAAAAACCCAGCAACCCGTTAAAAAACAAGCAAAACCAAACAAACCCAGAAGAAAAAACTGAAGAAATGTGGCATGAAAAAGAGACTTACACTTTGGAGAAACCTGAAGATCAGGTTCTGTTACACCACCAAAACCGAGCGAGAAAAATTGAAAAAGAAAAAGGAAGACAATTAGTAAATAAATAGAGAGGCTTTCGAAAAGAAAGAAAATAGAGAAAGAGGAAAGTACGATGGGTTGGGTCATGATTCTTTGGACTTTGGTGCTCGCCATGGCTGTGGAAAACTTGAGCGCTTGTTTCCCTCTTCGCAGAACGTGAGAGAGGTTTTGAGTAGATACCTGTTAAACCCTAACTTGGAATGGATAGCGAGCTCGTTTAAAAGAAGGAAAAGAAGCGATCCGACGCGCTCGCCCTATATGATAATTTTTACACTTTGTCTTTGCTCGGGAGGTTTCTCCATCATTTCATTTCTTTAAGTTTTAGTTTTTTTTTTTTTTGAAAAAATATGTTGTTAAATTTTTTTGGTTAGATATACTTTTCTAATTATTAACATTTTACCGTCATATTATATAGGGAACATACTGTTATTTTGTAATTATAAATAAGAAGTATTTTAAAAAATAAGTTTTAAAGATAGGATATTTTTAAAAATAATTTTTTTTATAATTTTAATTATTTTTAATTAAATTAGATAAAATTATCCTTAATGAAATTATACGATCTTATCCACCATATACAGAAACATATTACATGCTAAGGTTAGGTTATTACACGTTATGTATAAAAAAATATGATACGTTATGGTTAGGTTGTTACACACTATGTATAAAAATATGTTGCACGACGTGATTAGGTTATTACACGTCATGTTAAAAAAAATATTGTTGTTATATGCTATGTACAAAAATATGTTACATGTCATGTTAAAAAAATATTATTATTACACGTCATATTCAAAAATATTTTATTACACTTTAATACCTAAACTGTTGTTATTATTTACAAACTAAAACTTCAAATCTTCTCAACTCTCTTTATTTTTTTTTTATAATTTGGCACTGATTAAAGTGTTTCTAGCATATCTTTATGAATCAAAAAATAAATTTTTTTATCTAAAATACTTATTTTGACTAAAAAAAATTATTAAAAACCTAGGTTTATAAATTTTAAATTTTTACGTTTATTGGTTTTTAGATCCCGAATTGATCCAATTAAAAGCTCTTTTAAACATCTGTGATAATTTTTACTATTTAGTTTTATCTAAAATACCTAAAAATTAAATTTTCTAAATAACCATAGTTTGGTGTCTTTAAAGTATTGGAAAGAAAAATCTGAAAACGCGAGATAAAAAAATCGAGAGTATAGTAGATGAATACTGAAGAGAGAAATCGATAAAATTAGAGAGAGTGAGATGTTGAGAGGAACAAATCGGAAGCACAAATAGGAAAAAATTATCATGAATAGTTTAATTTATTTAAAATAATTTTAAAGTATTTTTATCAAATCATAACAAATATAATTAAAAATAATTAAATTTATTTTAATAGTTATTTTTAAAATATCTTTATTAAGAAAAGTTATTCCTAACAATTTTCTATAAAAAATAAGATAATTTTAAAAAGATACCAAAACCATTTTAACATTTATGAAAAGATGAGAGGATTTTTTTTTAAAACTAATAAATTCATTAAAAATTTTGAAAAGATAGAATCAAACTGATAAAATCCTTCCAAAAACTAATGGATACATGCAAAACCCCCTTCATATTTTTTTTTAGCCTAAGCCAAAGCTTAAAACTCTTTCCAAATTCACTTCAGCCGACAGCCCACAATATTGAACAAAATCTAACCAATTCCATCAACGTGACAAACATCAAAAGCCAAAACGTAACTCAATATATAATATTAAAATATAAAAAAAGGTTTACAAAGACGTGGCCACTCTTCAACCTGACATGTGACAAAATGAGAAAGCTCCAATTTTAAGTATGTAATAAATATTGAAATTATTATATTGATAATTTTAAAAAAAAATTCACAATATTCTCTTTATTTTTTATTTAAAAATTTGTATTTTTATTTAATTTTGACAATCGAACCTAGGACGTGATCAAACAAATTGGCATGTTATATGTTTAAAAAAATTACATCATTTTTTTAAATAAAATATTTTAAATTTTTTAATTTTGAAATTATTAAATAAAATTTTTAAATGTAAAAAAAAGAAAATTAAAATAATCTTCAAAAATTAAAAAAAATAAAACTCAAAGGAAAACAAAAAAGGTAGGAAAAAAAAAAAAAGGAAGGCTCAACCTCTCCGGCAAGCTAGATCATCACGGGTGGCCACTTTTCCCCTTCCTTCTATCTCTCCCCTTGTTTTATTTCCACTCATCCTAATTTCTCTTTCTTTTCTTTATTTTTGAATTTTATAATTTTACTTATTTTGTTACTTTTAGATTTCTATTTTTGAAAATTTATAATTCAAAAATTACAACAAATAAAAAAAATAATATAAAATTTTAAACGCGTGATAATATTCTGATTGGATATTTTTAAACACATCACCACATCACTAATAAGATGTGTACTCTACTTAACAAAATAAAAGCTGGAGTATGTAATAAGATTTTCTTATATAAGTATGAAATCCACAACACTATAATTCAAGTTCTAAAGGTGCAGTTAATGCTAACCATTTTCATGAATTTAAATTATATAATTTATTTTCAATTTCCTAATCATATGGTTCCCGTTAGTTTTCTTTAAAATTTTTTAATTAATTTGTATTTCACTTAGCAATCCAAAAGCCAAATTTCTTCAAGATTTTTTTATTTAGACTCTAACTTCAAGCGTGAAAAATCTTTTAATTGGTGAAGTAGCGGTATAGATTAGAATTAATGAGAAGGTTAACTTAAAATAAACCTTCAATATGGGTTTAAGTAGATATTTGGTTTAATTTATATAAAAAAGTTTCTACTATAAAAGTAGAAGTAAAATATTTGATGTAAAAATTTTAAAATTTTTAACTATTGCGAAAAGCTTATTTAGTTTTAAATGAAGTTATAAATTTTTTTTTTTTTTTACAAAATGTATAATGTGTAATAAGAAATATTTAGTGAGAATTTTTTGCATTCTTATTTTACCCCTTTTTTATATTTTTTCACGTTGATTTTTTTTCCAATTTTGTTCAATTTTTTCTATTGATTTCATCTCTCTATTTTATTTGCTTCTTATTTTTAATTAACCAAAAAATTATTTTATTTATTTCTTACATAACAAATTATATGATTCACTCTAATTAATAAAGATGTGTCTTTTTTTCATTTATTTAAGATAAAAAAATACTATCTATATTATAAAACATTTTGCATCGAGTTTGTCAAATATTATCATAATTTCTCTTCATAAAACTTTTAGAATAAATCTATTTGAACAATATTTCTTATAGAAACTTCGAACAAAAGGCTTAATAAAGGAAGCAAGTAAGGAACCAAAATCGTATAGCGTGACATGAAAGCATAGCAGAAAAAGTAATAGCAAATATTGTTACAATTTGTCTTTTAATGTATTCACCTCTTCGTCCATGAAATTTCTGGTGATATTTACAATTTTTATACACTTTATATTACTTTTTGCATGGCTTTGTTGATTGCTGAGGTTATCTCGTTTTGTTTCAGTTCCAATTTGTATATCTTGCCGATGATCTTTTGGGGTCCTTCCTTTGCTTCCTTGGTTTCGGTTCGAGGCTGATTTTTATTGTTTGATTGATGATTGTGTTAGTCAGTGACCTTTTGTTTCACTGATTTTTTCATTGTTTTTTTATTTGATCTCGTTTGTAATAGTCTATCAATTCATGAAGTTTAGACCGATTGCACTCTTTTATGTACATATTTTTATCAATAAAATTCTTCTTTCCCTTTCAACCAAAAATATTATTTTCATGCTGACAACAAAACTTGTTAAAAGAGGATGTGAGAGTTACTTAATCCTTTTAATTCTGTTAGAATTAATCCACTTACTAAAATGCTGCGAGGTTAAAAATATCAATTTTTAAAGTTCCATATAAAAAGTTATCTTGACAATAACTACTGGCCTTTTTCCCTTTTATAAAAAAACCTATGAACCGTGTGTTGTAACGAATTTAAAATTTTACGTGAAAAGTAATTAAAGAATAATCATACAAAGTTATAGATCTATATATTTCAAACTAAATACATATAAAATAAAAAATATTAAAAACTAAGGATGGTGACTATTACTTGGCTGCGTCGTTAGTCTTGAGCCAAAACGGCAAAATCTAAAGACATGTTTTTTAAAGCCTAATAGTATCAGAACACCACTAAATGAGGCTTTAACTCAATGTTAAAAATAAAAATTATAGAAATCTATAAACTCCAAGTTCAAATCAAACGTTTGAGAGTTTCATCAAGTTCAAGCCATAATTTTTTTTATAAGTAGCTCAAGTCACGATTAATTAATTAAAATATTGACACAATATTTTAAAAAATATTTAAATTATTCAAGAAATTTAAATAATTTTTTTTATTTTTTATTCAAATTTTATATTTTTATTTTAAACTAAATAAGTCTTTATTGCTAATAATTGACTAATTATTAGTTAAAATATCATTTATTATTTTATATAATTTGTTATTGGTATGACATGTTATTATATCATAATGGATGTATGACATGACAAAGAAAGAAAAAAGGTACGAATTGTAGTAAAAGCACAAGAAGTTAGCATCGAGCTTAATGAGAGGAAACCAAATTGTGTGGGAAAGGCTTGCTTAATAACATCTCTTAAAAAATTGAGCACAAAGGAAGAAAACATGGCCATCTCTTTCCAGAGGAAGAAAACCAAAGGTAAATCAAAACTCAAAAGGGTTTTGGAACAAGAAGGAACTAAGAAAGGGCAAACAGATGCGAGAAACAACATGGATACAGAATTAAATGATATAGAGAAGAACTTGATTGAAATTGTAGTATAATCAGTTGAGGATTTGATCACTAATAGGGATATAGGACAAAAAAATTCAGTTATCATTAATGAGCTAGTAGAGATTTAAGACCTGGGTAGGAGATTGGGTTTGAGCTTTGAAGAAGACCAAAAAGAGGCAGAGGCTTTGTTTAATCAGTTGGAAGAAGGGGACCCGCCCTAGGATTAGGCCTAAACAACTAATGATGGTTAAGGTATGTTAATGTTCCATTGTTAATTATGAAGATTATTAGATGAAACATCAAGGGGATATGGGGAGGATTTAAAAAAAGAGTTAATAGAAACTTAGTTAGAATTGAAAAACTAGTATGTTTTTCCTTCAAGAGACAAAAATGGAAGTAATAAACAGAAGAAGGTCTAAGGATATAGGGGGAACAGTTTTAAAGAAAGATCTGTAGGTGCGGTTTAGGATGATGAATTCTTTAAAATGGAATCAGTTG